AGGGGCAGAATAGCCGCTCTGTTATGCACGAGCAGTACCGGAGCATGTGTTTATTAGTAAGCATGAGCGCTTGTGAGCAGGCACATAACTTACATTCATAACCTGACCAATATGAGGCTGGTATGGCCGTGTGGCAGAGCGGGCAGAGAGAAGGCGTGAGCACAGAGTTGTGGGCACATTTCCTATATCTAACAGTCGACCGGCATTTGCCAGCTTTATGAGAGTGGGCTCTGTGAGTGTGAGAGACATGTGGGGTATCGTGGTTGTGTGTAGGGATGAACACTGAGATGTCTGGGCAGAGGGCGCAGATCACATGGCGGTCTCCAGCGCTGGGTGGGGCTCGGCACAAATTGCGAGGCATCTTGAAAAAGACATCTCGCTGCTCTTTTAGAAGGGTGGTGTCGCAGCGACAAACACACACAGGAAATAGAGCTCAGAGAAAAGGATACGTCGCCAGATAGCATAGCTCGCACGGATGGTTGAAGGCGGGGCTTCTTCAGGTGCTGTCCTAAGCTGGCTTTTCGCTTCTCGGACGACTGCGGCTGCTTATCTCGGAATCGAGCAATGAGGAGAGATTCGCTGAAGAGATGAAAAATCAAGAAGACAGCCTCCCATCCCCGCTTGTATACGCTAAGCCACGCCCATCCTGGCGGGCTAAGACGCGCTGAGGGTGCGAGTGCCCTTTATTGGAAGTGACGTCACACCAGGCTCAGTGGTAGGCTTCAGCAGTTGCCGCGGGCAGCCAATGAGCACGCTAGACAGCCTGCTCTAGGTTTGCTAGCTGCTGCACTGCGTTGACAATGAATAGGATGAATGAAGGATAATTTTTTTGCTTCAATATCTGAATCTTTCCCGTACCGTAAACTAACTTATGCAATGCGGGAGAACCTCTCATAAGAGGTTTTCATACCTCATACCTCATTCACATACTTGTGGCTCACAACCTATAACGTTAATATTTGTCTTTATTTATTCAACATTCTTAGGAAACTAAACAAATTCTCAGTAATTCAAAAGCATAAAGGGCTGAGATAAAGGCCATGCTGTCCTACCATTGGGCTCTCAACTCATGTCTGGAGTGTTATATGGTAATACTCAAAAAAAAACAACAACAACAAAATCATGATCTGCATACTGCTTTAATATATCTACATATCATATATCTATTATCAGATATAGGCCTATATCTACTATATCTATATCTATCTTCAGTGAATTTAGGGTCTGGATTCAGAGTTGCTAATTCATGTGTGAAAATGATTCTTCATGCCTCCTTCCACACCATTCTATCACAGTTTGAGCCTGATGAATCTTGACATTGTCATCCTGGAATATAGCGTCCTGGAATACATGATTTGTCTACATATGGTTGTTTTTAATGAAAAGCTCACATACTAGAAGAACTGTTGCCGAACATGGTAGAAACATTATATATATATATATATATATATTTATTCACACAGTATTTATATAAATGTCTGTTTAGAAGGTCAGGAGCTTTGTGTTGTTGGGATTCGTTCTGAGATAACAACCGGCTGAATATACATTATCCTTAACACATAATACAATAAGCTTCAATGAAGCTACTTAATGTTCCTTTGTTACTAGCTCTAAAATAATGTTTAAGAATTAGTAATGGGCTGTTAAACTGTCAATTTAAGATTTGAATCCGTGGCGGAATGGAAGTAGTTCTGCACAAAAGAGGGTTTTTAAAGACACTCTAAATTTATTTACTCACTTGTGTCGTCGTACTGTTGTATAACCAATATCACACACCTAGCCATGCGATTCGGCAATATATCAGCACGCTGTGATGCCGTGCAGCCTCGTCCCTACGGTTGAATTACAGCTGTTCTGATATCCAGCCATATTGTACTGCTATCGTACCGTGTGCTCTATGTAACATTATTATTATTTTTTTTTTCTTTCATTCATTAATTCTTAATTAATTCAATTCTTGGTAATACTTGATAATTACAGGAGACCATGGGGCCCTCCTTATTGCTCTGTATAACCCTGTATAAACCCATATCAAGTTCTCAGTAAAATGAGATTGGAGGCATAGCATTTCCTGAATCTGCAATACACATGAAAATAGGACTTTAATTAAAAGTGGGTAATAGCACTATTGCCTTTACAGAATAGCAGTAAAACAAATAATCCAGTCAATAAAGCAGCATGAACACCACTAATGATTTTAAAATAAAAAAAAATAGGTATACAGCTTGTGCCACATTCATGATTGCTGAGGGGGTGAATTGATCTGAAGACTTGCCAGGCTTCTGTTTAATTGAGACATACACCATTAATACATTTATGAAAAAGAAATTACAGTCAGAGACAAAACGTAAGGCCAGTAAAAGACTGTATCTTTTAGAGCCCAGTGAAACGCTCTGCATGAGCTACTAAGTCCACATGTGGTCTCAGACTAAGTGTCTGTTGTTAGCTGTCAGAAAGAATCAAAAGCGACTTTATTGCAACAAGTTGTGCTAAAGGCTATCTCAGCTCTGGCTGTTAGAAAGCGGATGATTGCTGAAGGCAGCGATTTGTTTTATGGGGATGGAAAAGCTTGCTTGATTTCATGGCCTATACAGCCCTGTGGAAAGCAATAGGAAATAAAATGTGATTCAAGTAGTAAAATAAGTTAATCGTCCACCGCACTCCATTCCTCTCACACACAAATCCAGGTGATCTCAGAGCTTGTAAAAACAAGTTGGCAGTATGTGCCTCACACCGTGTGTACGGACATGACAGCCTTTGTGTTGCAGTCATGTTGGCTGCATCCAAAAGATGAAAAATGCTGCCTCAGCAGCCGTGATATGGACAGTACCAAGGCAAATCTGAATCCAATGCTCACATCCTTCAACTGAGATACCTTTATCTGATTGATTCTTTTTTTTTATGCAGCATTTTTATCCTTCCACTATTATGTGACAGTTGATGTAAAAAAAAAAAAAAAAAAAAAAAATAGGTGACTGAAATATGCGGTTGGTGGTCAGTTTGTGTATAGATGAATGGGTAACGTTTTTTATAAGTAAACTGTAATAAAGTACTTACATTCATAAAATTGCCACTGTAAGTAAAAAAAAAAAAAATGTAACACTTTAGTTTAGGGCCCAATTCTCACTATTAACTAGATGCATATCACTTGTCCTGTTACTTACCTGTTATTACTGGTTACTAAATAGGATGTTGGCTATTTGGCCTTGTCTACTTCCCTTAATCTGACCCAATACCTAAACTTATCAACTACCTTACTAACTATTAATATGCAGTAATTAGAAGTTTATTGAGACAAAAGTCATAGTTAACAATGAGAATTGGAAGTGTGACCAAATATTAGCTCATATGTAAAGAGGTAGACAATGTTTTTATGCTTTGTTAACAACTTATTATTCGCGATGGATGGTATTTAAAACCAGTAGGTTCTAAAGATAGGTCACAGAAAATTGGAATATTTCAATAATTGCATTAATATTAAGTGTTCCGTAAAATACAAATACATTAAAAACAAGCATGCAAACATACAGAGACACAAACACGTGCGCCATTGTTTTGTCTCAAGATGCACACGCGTAATACAGTATATAACATATTTCAGGCATGTTTAAAAAAAGTTACTTAAAGATCCTAATTTAACTAAATGTCTAATCCTGGCTTAATCTAAACCCTGTCTGTGAAACCAGGCAGGCCAAAATGTTTTCTATTTGAATATATTTTGAAATACTGTTTATTCCTGTGATGACAAAGCTGAATTTTGATCCTTAAGAAATCATTCTAATAAGCTGATTTGGCGCTCATAAAACTTTTCTTATTATTAACATTTTACAGGATTTTTAATTTTTGATGAATAAAGTTGAAAAGAAAAGCATTTGTTTGAAAAAAACTGTTAAATAGAGCTGTTCAATAAAGAGCATTCATGTCTTTAAAAAAACAAAACAAAAAAAAAAACACCACAATTGTTGTTTTAACACCACAATTAAAGGTTTTTACAGAGTTTTTTCTTTTTAAAGAGTACAAATAGTGCTATTACAGGAAGCGTACAGTAATTCTGAAAGTTTACTGGGAACATTTCTTTGGTCTTTGTTTTCATGAAAAGGTCAGAACAAAATACTGGTTACCAGTTTTTAACCCAATTTAAACAACAATGCATTTTTTTTTGTAAAATCTTCTGTGTTGTTATGCAAAATATTCTAGTTGTTTTTGTTCACTGTAATCCCTGAACTGGAAACATCACCAGCTGGCTTTATAATGATCAAAAAGTTTTAGATAACAAAGAGAAATCCACTCACATGATATCCGTGGAGAAACGAAAAAAAAAAAAAAAAAAAAACATTTACTTCAGAAAGAATAATCAGCATTCACATCAAACATGCGAAATGTTGAACGTGGCTAATCAGCATATAACATGATTTAGTGATTCTAATGTTATAAAGTGTTTTGTTTAGTCTGAATAAGTTTATGAACCTCTTATCAATTATAAACAAAGCACCTGTTTGTCTAGACTAGGCTAATTGGTAATGACTGCTTTTATATAGCCTATACTATTACCATTAAAAATGAATAGACAAGCCTTGGTTATTTAGGATTAAACTCTCTTTAAACATGTTAGTGTATCTTATCTTCTTAAGGCAAAATCAATACAGAACTAATCTCAGGCACCTCTGCTTTCATTGTAAACCGCCAGACCTCACACAAGTCATTAGGAGGCATAATGTGGTCTCACCATGCTGTGAATGGAAATAGCCAGTTAGGGAATTGCTGCTGGTGAGGTATGTGAGATGAATTCTCTCGCGTGGACCATTTAAAATGACACATCATTAACAGAGCAAACCAAAGCAGCTTCAAAGTAATTTGGCAGGCAGCCCCTTGGCCTACTGATGACCCCGACACACAAATCAGCAGCCCTCGCAGGCATAAATCAGTCTGGGTGAATCTGGGTGGGTTACATGGTAATTCTGGAATTATTGGTTAATAGTAAGTGGAGTGCTTAAACTTACTTGCGTTTGTAATTCGGTCAAGACAGCAGGGCCTGATATGAATCAAAACTGGTAAACGAGGTTCAGACTAATCTCATTACGTCCTCCTCCTAAAAGATCAGAGATAAACAGAGGACAAGGTTAAACCAAATTTAACTGTGCAGCACAAACAAGCATCATCTCACAACATCTATACATGTGGTTTACCCTTCCAAAAGACTGGCATCAGTATGATATTTTGGTATCATTTTTTGGCATCGCAGTATACATTTTAATCTCAATCACAAAATCCTACCAGTACTGAGACGTTCGCTCCCTAAAAAGTCCCACATTGCACAATGAAAACCAGGAAGCATCGATGCTCACTGTTCCCTTAAAGGGTCAATTCACTTAAAAATTATGTAATTAATGACTCACCTTCATGTCGTTTCAAGCCCGTAAGACCTCCGTTCATTTTTGGAACACAGTTTAAGAGATTTTAGATTTAGTCCAAGAGTTTTCTGTTCCTCCATTGAAAACGTATGTACGATATACTGTCCTTGTCTAGAAAGGAAATAAAGACATCACCAAAGTAGTCCATGTGACATCAGTGGGTTAGTTAGAATTTTTGAAGCATCGAAAATACATTTTGGTCCAAAAATAAGACAAACTACGACCTTATTCAGCATTGTATTGTCTTACGGTTCTGTTGTCAATCCGCGTTCACGAGTTGCTGACGTGTTTCTGGTGCGTCTGTGTATTTGGGTTCAAAAAAATATGACTTAGCAAAAAAAAATGCAAGTCTTCCTCTGTGTCGAAATCCTTAGACATGTTTGCGAAGATTGTTTTGTTTGCAGCGTAAATGACTCTCTCAGACTGTAAACGAAGATCGGGCGCACCAGATAACACGTCAGCAGCGTCTTACGTCATCAGCATCACTGAACACAGATTGACAACAGAACCGGAAGACAATACAATGCTGAATAAAGTCCAAACCAAAATGTATTTCCGATGCTTCAAAAAATTCCAACTAACCCACTGATGTCACATGGACTTCTCTGTTGACGTCTTTATTTCCTTTCTAGACAAGGACAGTATAACGTACACATTTTCAATGGAGGGATAGAAAACTCTCGGACTAAATCTAAAATATATTAATCTGTGTTCCGAAGATGAACGGAGGTCTTACAAGGTTGGTTGGAACGACATGAGGGCGAGTCATTAATGACATAATTTTCATTTTTGGGTGAACTAACCCTTTAACAGAAGTTCTGAAGCATGAAACATAAATCAACTGAGCAAACTCACTACAAATATTGATGCGTGAGAGATGTTTTATAAAATACAAACCATTTATTTATTATATTTCAGCATGAACACACAACGCCAGACATGTAATGAACATAATCTAGCTAACATGTATCATTTATTTATGGCTGAAGTCTTCCACATATGTGTGACAGGAAAAGAATTTATCATAATGTACTTTTTAAATAACATTAAAAAACAACAAAAGAATGATATCAGCTCTTCTGATTTTCATAAATACCAGTAGTGATGTGGTGGTGGGTTCCCTGACCATTTGATGCATATAAATGATTTTTTTTACACTAATCTAAAACAAACATATAAAAACAAAACAAACTGTGGCTGGCCGCTGTATATGTCAGTTCTCTTCCTGTTCAAGTGTGCGGTTCATGGCCATAATACGCTGCAATGTGTGACTGCACCCGGGACTCCTTTTGCTTTTTATATTACTGATCGTTTGGACATACGTGAATTCAGTACATTGGAAACTCCAACAGATTTGCATATCATAACAGTTTACATAATTCCATATGATTACGGAGGCCAGTGGAACAAATCTGGGTCACACTAGGGCCGCCCATTCCCTAACTGATGAGATTGGAGATCGAAATTCTGAAAACGCAACAGACAACTGGAGGCATTTGTTTCTCCTGGGGTAAACAAGAAGCTAAAACGGAGTGAGTGGAGCATGAAAGCAGCAAATGTACTTGGAATAAAACAGCAGAATGAACAGACAGAGGAAGTGTGCTGGCCATGTGCTGTGAAAGCAGAAGCAATGGAAAGAAAAAGTCCTCCAAACACTCGAGTCAATCATAAAAGCAGCCACTGCTTGTACAGTGACATCATCACTCATGAGCCTGCACTTTAAGGCAATAGCATTAACAGACACTGCACACCATTTAACCGCAGCATTAGTCAGACTCATCTGATTTTCACAAGGCTGGCTCAAACTCTTCTGCATGACTGGTGTTTGGGTCTAATTTCTCACACAAGTGCTTCAGACTCTAAATATCTTTTACATGTGTGATTCAGCCTCACATAAAGCATCTTTATACTTGTGAATTTTTATTTACCTGAAAATAAAAATGATTCACTATTTACTTATCCTCATGATATTTCAAGCAAGCAGGTACTTTTTCCAAGGAACATAAAATAAGAAATTGAAGAATTGTCCGGTCTGTTCTATACACAGGTATTAAAATAATAATAATAATAATAATAATACATTTAAAAATGATATTATCACATCATTGGTTTTTATTTCAATACATTCTTAAATAAAGAAATGGAAGAATCTTCAGATCTGTTCTATACAACATTAAAAGCAATAAACATGAAGTAAAAAATATGGTGCCTTTGCATGTGGTATTGATTACAATTAATTTACACATTTAAATTCAATATTAGTATGATATATATATTTTTTTCATTCCATTTAAAAAAGAACAGCATGGAGGTGAGGAAATAATGAATCATTTTTGGGAGAGCTATTCTTTAAAAATGTGAAAATGCATACATTTTGGAAAGAAAATCGGTGCCATATCAGCAGCCTCTAGACAGTTTACCAAAACTGAAACCACTCATTCCTAACCAGAACAACACGTCTCCTCTCATGTGAAACTGCAGATGACAGAATCTGTATTAAGCTTATTTAATGATTAGTCAAATGATGAAATAATACAGCATGGAAGAATGAGCATTGTTCTGGGGCTAAATTTAATTACAGCCAATGGTGCTCTGACTAATGAGCAATGCCCCCCTTTACCTCCTAACTGGGTAAAGCAAAAGTGGCCACTGGGTATGTTCTCTGGGGATGAGTCAAGAGATGATTAAGTAAAAGTCAGAGTACACAAAGAAAATCCTTTTTGAAGTTTCACAAGAAAGAACCAAGACTTATTTCAGACGCCTGTTTCTAATGTAAACAGAAGCTAGCACAAATCCTACTTGTTAAATCATTTTCTTACATTATAAACCTCATCAGCCTGGCTCATGAATATTAATTAAATCAAAGTAATGTTCACCCAGTAGTCATATAACTAAATTGCAGAAAAACAAGGAAGTCTGCAAGTTTTCAGGAACTGCATTATTTTATTATTGCATAATTGTTCCTGAGGTGCACCTGTTAGTATGATTTTCTTTACAAAAAAAAAAAAAAAATATTTAGAAATTTGTCCTGCCCTGATTTGAACGCTCTGTTTGAAGGGGCGTGTCTTCGGAGAGACTTCAGTGTAAACGCCCACTGCTGTGATTGGCTAACATTTTGCATATGAAATAGCTAAGTATTACATATTTAAGTCTCTCAAAAACTTTTAGCATGTTTTTTTTTTTTTTTTTAAATTACAGCTCTCAAGGTAAACAAATCATGAAAAGTGTTGATTCATTATTATCTTTAGATCAATAGCATTGCATTTAGATTGTGGCATGAAAGGTTTCAGTGATGAGAATTGTAGCCGATAAATAAAAGCTGTTTTTGGACTTAAAAAGAAGTTTTCAGGTCTGAAACTTTCAGGATATTCTTATAGTATGATGATCTCTTATGTCAAAAGCTCAAGGAAAACTAGTTTTCTTAATTCACAATCCATTTAAAGGGGTAGTTCACGCAAAAATGAAAATTCTGTCAGCATTTACTCACACTTAAGTTGTTCCAAACCAGTGTGAGTTTGTTTTAAGAATATGGGTAGCCAGAGTCCATTGAGTCCATTGACTTCCATTGTATGGAAAAAATACTATGAAAGTCAATGAGGCCCATGATCAACTGTTTGGTTATTGACATTCTTCAAAATATCTTCTTTTGTGTCTAGCTGAAGAAAGACATTTTTTTTAACTATCCCTTTAACTGCTTATCCAGTTTGTTAGACTGTCGATCCTTTTATTTCAACCGAAAATCCATTTTTACAAGGCTGGCAATATTTAATTTTATTTATTTACTTTTTTCGTGGTTAAGCCAAACAAAGTTCTTAAAATACGATGACAACTGGCCAAAATAAGGGGAGGCAATCATAAAAATGCCAACAAACTTTTTTTATCCATACAATTAAACCAAGATTTGATCCCACTGAATTTCATTGAATGATGATACTGTAATAATAATACAAATAAATGAAAAAATATATTTTGTGGTCCTAATGAAATGATATTGTATCCTCAAACTCAAGGTCCAACAACAACAAACTAAACAAAAACTACTTTATTAATTGTGCAAGTACTGTAAATACACAAACACTGACACTTGGTTAGTGAGCTGTTGTGCTTCCTTATCTCTCTCCTAGGTCCGGAAGACCCAGACAGAAAAACAAGGTCATTGTATCCACATATATAAAAATTAACATCAAAGAAATCCATGTTGCTCAATGTCTGTGAGGCATCCTCTGTTTGCAAGCTGTGAAGAATGAGATATCTTGGCCATGTGCATTGGAACAGAGATGATATTGATATATGGAGGAGTGCCATTAGACACAGAAAGCCTGCATTTGTGCTGCAAAACCCAGTCTCATTTCAATTCGGTTAAGCAATGTCTCACTATTTATTAGGCATTCGAAAAAAAGAGCACGCTCTCACAGTCTCAGAAGAAATAAATACAAGGAATTTTCACTGCCTCATGGTATTATCATTCAGCTAATTAAGAAAGAAAAAAAGAAAAAACGGCAAAGCTTCAGACATACTGTGTAGGATGAAAAGCAGAAGAATAGTTAAAAGTAGCTTTGGCTGATTCAAGAAAACAGACCAAAATGTGAGATGTTACAATTAAACAGCTACACAACAAACCCCCAAATAAATGCTGTTTTTGATAAATCAATATCCATCCAGTATATCTGCAGAACAT